TCCCTAATTTTTAAATTGATTTTAGAAAGACAGGAAGAGAGAGAAACACTGACCTGTTGCTCCACTCATTGGCTGGTTCTTGTCTGTGCCCTGACTGAGGATTGAACCTGCAACTTGGTCTAGTGCAGCGGTTCTCAACCTGTGGGTCGTGACCCCTTTGGGGGTCGAACGACCCTTTCACAGGGGTCGCCTAAGACCATCGGAAAACACATCTATAATTACATATTGTTTTTGTGATTAATCACCATGCTTTAATTATGTTCAATTTGTAACAATGAAATTGGGGGTCACCACCACATGAGGAGCTGCATTAAAGGGTCGCGGCCTTAGGAAGGTTGAGAACCGCTGGTCTAGTGGGATGTGGCTCTACCCCACTGAGCTACCCTGCCCAGGGCTACACCAGCTCTTTCAATAAAAGGACATACTCAAGTCCATTCAGTCTTCTCATTCTTTATTATCTGTTGCTTTTATTGAAGAGAGGTGTATCGCTACTTAAGTTGTTACTATACTTATTATTTATTAAGGTATCTTTTTCCGGCAGGTCCTTCACAATAAACAGGTCCACACTCTTATCTTACACTCTCAAACCCAAATTCCAAAGCAGCAAGGTAGCCAAAGAAAGCCAATCACACCCCTCTACCCTCCGCAAAGGCAAGGCGAGGAACACTGGGAGGCTCGGAGCACCCAGGAAAATAACGCCCTAAATCAAAATTTTAAAAAAATATCTCCTCACGCACAGAAAACACTTGAATCCGGCTCAGCGTGTCCCACTTTCCAAAACTACAAGCCGCACCAACGAACACACCCTGAGCTCCAGCCGCAGCCTGTGCCCGGCGAGGCTGAAGCCCCGGGGACACACACTGCCCGGCCTCCGCTCGTCCCGGGGACGGACGCCAGGCCAGGACAGAGTCCGGCAAGGACCGACGGCGGTCTCCCCGGCCCTGCTCTGGGAGTGCGCATCCCCAATTGCAGTCTGTCCTGGTGGTCAGAACTCGTACAGACGGATGGCCAAAGGACTGAGGTGTTGACAGGTTCGCTTTATCTTCACTTTCAGCCCTGGCTGGGTAGTCAGGTGGTTAGAGCACCCTCCCGCTATGTCAAGGTTGCAGGTTCGATCCCCACTCACGGCACATTGCATAAATAAGTGGAACAACAAATCGAGGTCTCTCTCTCTGTGTGTCTGTCTGTCCCTTTCTATCTCAAATGAATACATTTAAAAGATAAAATAAAGGTATGTTCACCTCTCCCCAAGCACCTGAGCCTTAAAACAACTGGTACTGTTACTTGCACCATTGGGGGAATGTGACTAAAACAGCCATAGAGATAGTAGTGTTTCCTCACCAGACTACATGGTTGAGAAAAGGGGGAAAAAAAGCAGAAACTTACTTTTCATAGACCAGCTCCTCATCGATGGAGAAATAGTGGATATGGACTGTGCTTTTTGGTCTATTCCTCAAAGTAGCAAAATATAAACGATCTGAAAGTTTCAAAGAGGGGAGAAACGTATGAGAAGCGGGGAAGCTGGCGGTGGGGTGGCCACACACACACACACACACACACACACACGAAGATCAAAATAACAAGCGCTGCCCGGGACTTAAAGCCGCCAGCACATGGGCTTCCTGCAGAAACCTGATCTCGCCCAGAAAGCGAGGGACCCAAGGGCACGGCCGTCCCAGAGGC